TTTGGCACGTCCTTAATTCTTGTATATGAGAAGTTTCTTCTAAGGCAATAAAAGGCAAAGCTTGATTATTATGACTTTGCTGCTATCGGGATATAAATGACAATCTTTGAAAATCCATAATAAAAGTATTATCTTCCGTTGTTAGTTTTTTGGCATTAGTTAAAAATGTAATTATTTCGTAAAATATCTTTAAAATTAAAATAAGGTATTGAACCTGTTAGTCACCTGGCCGTTCTAAGTTATCCCACCTATAGCGTAAAAAGATCTAGATAACAAATTTTTGAAAGACAGTAAAAAATCACATTTCTACAATGATGAAGTAGCTGGCAGTTTTACTGAACGTAGTCAGATAATTGTTTGTTTGAAACGTGTTATTTGTTATGATATAATTGGTTTGGTTTTCATAATATAATTTATATTTGCTGAAAGGTAAATTGGACCTTTGTGCCCCGCAACTCTAATTCATGGAATGTTACTTGAAACTTTTCAAAAAGCAGGCCAAAGAAGAAATACTTAATTTATTTTCTTTTAATAATTTATTTAATCTCTTTTTGCAGAAATTTGAAAATTTTGTATAAGCTCAGGAGTATTATTTGCAATTATACACAAAATCCAGAATTCAAAAAAAATATGAAAAACTTTAAACGTAATCAATTTTTTATTAAATGGAATTTGTAATGACTATATTAGATATAAGTCGAAAGACCAAAAAAGACTTGAATTGGATTATGCCGTGTTTTCTATAGAAATAGTATAAAACTTCCAGTTTGATTGCATTATAGACAAACTACGGAGTAGTTTTTATAATACCTTACTGTATATAGCATTCAAACAACACATCCTTGCACACTTAAATTATTAATTTTTTTGAATCTCTAGAAATTGTTTAGGAAATACATTACTTAGCAAAACAACGTTTGCCGGGTCGGCTAGTATATGTATATATATATACATATTTAACATATGTATTTATAACTGTATGTTATCTGATTGCTAATTTAATTTTCTATCTAAATTAAATTCGTAATCAGCTAACATCATCCGTCATTTACTGCTGACTTTTGTACAATTTTCAATTAAATTGTTGGCACGAATGATTCATTACCTGTATCATTTACAATAAAATTAATCAAACCAGAAATCTACAATATTAATATGTATATATATTTTATATACAAAATCTTGATTTAAAATCGATACAAGTTATATTTGTCTCTTGTTGTTATGAGAATTTATATCTCAAGAATCGCGGTGCAATAATGATAAAAAACATAGGTTGTTCAAGGTAGGGTCTAATAGTTTGAAGTCTCCCCATCGAGAAGCCACTAACATTTCTCATTGGAATCAATATCTTTTCATATATGTGCATATGTGATTCATCACCCGATATATATGCACATATATTTCGGGCTCTTTATGTCTTACTTGGGTATATATCCGGATGAACGGAAAGCAAATAAAACACGAATTATAATATATAAAATATTAAATAGAACATTCTGAAAGGGTACTGTCGCTGACAGTCAAATGTCAGATCCTATTATGATACCCGATACGGGTGCGTTTACTATCGACCATAAAAATAGCAGAGGCTTTTTAGTGTCTCACGCGATTTTTCTGGAATACGTAAATCATAATATTGAAAATTTAATACGATACACCTGAATATCGCATTATGTGAGGATCGTTAAGAACTGGTGATGATTTATACCTGGTACAAACGCAATTGAAGTTTTCTAATAACAGCAATTTCACTTTTCTTTAAGATGTTTCATACGGAATATTTGAATATAAAATTATAAGAACAATAATGGTTTGCGTTTCATTCTTTGATCGTGGAGAATTTACCCTAAAATGTAGTGTATAATTTGTGGTTGTAATTACGTGTAATTATCGTGAATAAAGTATTTTTAGGTGGGTGCATGGATATAAGTACGACGTAGAGATATATTGTAATAGCGAACGTAAAAATCTATTCATCATATATTCATACAGGATAAAAATATACTCATAATTTTTACTATATCAGTTTTGTTTGTTTATCTTTCAACCAGGATCATGTTCTCGAAAATTTACATGGGTTCGAAATGTTGACAATGAATAATATAATTTTTTAAAATTTTTATTACTTCTAATCTGAAAATATTTCTATATTTACTATTTATTGTGTACTATGTTGATGAAAACTTGTTCAACCTGTATCTAAATGAGCATGGAAGAAAATACCTTCAAATAAATGTCTAAATGATTTTCATTTATTATTTATTTGAGCAGAACATAGAATTAACAGTTGATTCATTTTACGGCCGAATCTGCCCATAAATCTCACATTGAGCATATTTGATTAACGCATTGAAATTCCCGCCGCTATAATTAGATTATCCAACTTAAGCAAAAATAAACTAAATCATCGATTTCCAATAGTGACAAACAACACAATGTAAATCGCGGATATTTTATTCGGCTTCCATTAGCTACTACAACTAATAATAACACATAGAATGTTTGCCAACGCGTACCGAATACAAGTGAATGACAATGAATATGAATATCTATATTCATGTGCGATTAGAATTAATGCAAGCGCACAAACAATAACGTAACTAGAGCACAAACACACCAGGCATACACAAAACCAAAATAGGCAAAGCGACGATGTATACATAAGTTCGAACAAATATAGAGACAAAGCTGAATATGTAGGTGTATGTATGGGGTGTATGTATAATATTCCACATAAACAGACTATAACAATTTGCCCGTTCTGTTTGATTGCTATTGCGTTGATTTCTGTTCTAACATGTCCTAGAGTCGCATCTGTTGTTATCAGAATTGTTTTCCAACGCTACTGACCAGAATAATTTTGCGAAACGTAATTGGAAATTGATTGCATCGTGTACCAGGTTACAGAAATTGGAAATTTATTACAAAACTTTCATGAGATAAAAAATGTAGAAACATCACCATGGTAATTATTTAAAAAACTGATAAACTTTAAATATGCAAAATAGGTGTAAATGACATTTTGCGTCAAGGAAAATTCTATGAACGTCCTAATTTGTGTAAATGATCTGATTAATGAATAAAAGTTTAGACTTAGCTTTATTTAAAACTGTGACCATATTTTTTTTAATTTTGACGCTGCCTATTGTTCCAAACTTTAATGACATTTAATAAATAATTTATAAGGTTGTTGTTTCATCACAATCACCAAAAAAGCTCAAAATACAAAGAAACCGATCTTTTACCAATGACTCTATTCCCAACCGATATCTTTATACCTTAATATCCTGAACCAATGTTCAAAATCAGTTCAGAATTCGTGAAAATTTTTTTGTTGAATTTTAGCACAAGAGAATAAAATTTTAACACACATACTCATACAGTTAAACACACATACTTTTTCCAATTATGATATAAACGGTTCAGAATTACTTGAAAAATAAAACAACATAAAAAATGTTTTCTAAGATTTTCTGTAGTAAACAAACTTCTCCATCGGGAAGGATGTTAAAAATAAGCGCCTCAATTTTTAAACAACTAAAGTTTGAGATATTTATATAGGTACTTAGATATAAATATTGATAGCATAAGGAAATGATTGCTTATGCTTTTATGCAATAGCTTTGTTTCTTGAACAATTTCTTAGTATGTTCAATGATTACAAATTTGTAGGTGAAACAAACACGAGAGTAAGAAAACGTAAAGAATTTCAAACGTTGTTAAAATAATTAAGCAAAATTTTATAAAAAAATTGTCATTTTTTATCGCTTCATCAGATACATAATTTTTATACAAAACTTCTTACAGATAAGATAGTAATAATCATTTTCACTTTGCATACATTTGACTTTATTTACTTTGAGATATTTTTAATTTTTTTCGCATTTTTATTTGCTGATTTTCACTTTCCCTGAGCTTTGTAAAATAATTCTCTACAGTTTTATGATAGTAATAAACTGGGTTGATGTTTACTTATGCATCATGTTTAATCGATGCATTCTGGCACGGTACATTTGCTAATTAAAACGCCATTAATGATAGATAATGGAACATGCAATGCATGAATTAAAACCGTTGACCCGGTAAGGCATGAATCATTATTATACGATCAATGCATTTGCATGGATTAGTAGCGAATGCTGAATAAATTACTTAAAATTAAAGTAAAAATAGACTGAAAAAAGAACATTAAAGGAGAGCATTAATTTTATAAAAAGTAGCTAAAGTTTCCGTTAAACCTCATTCGGATTTATTTTTATAACGGGCCGATGGCAAACCATTAATATAATTAAAGATGTATGTAATGGTAGAAAAACGTTGATCGTAGTTGCCTACAAAGCTTTAATTATTATCTGGTCTGTCAGCAATCTGAGAATATGTATTTTCAATATATTCTTATAAGAATGAAGAATTAGTTCAAATAAAATTTCTGACCATCTAAATAAGAATAAAAAATCAAAAATTTAAAAATATTACAAATGATTTGAGTTTGATCCGCATTTCGGAAAACTCGATATGCTTCGAATGATTGCTTAGGTTATTACAAGACTATTACCTAAGAGTTTTCATATAGTGCTAAAAAAATTATGAGGTACCAATTGTATAACTCATAGTGATAAATGTCGAAGCAAAGACCAACACAGAACATGTCGTCCATAGACGACATCTCCGTACACACGTGTCATGTGGATGTTCAAGACGACACTTATATTCATAGGTAGTCAAGTGGATGTCGTCCATGTCTGACACTCGTAATATAAACAATTCAGTATGAGTAAACAATTATAATTAAAAACCTACTAATTTACAAATTAGCCATTACAGATACTCTATTACAAAAACTGTTTTTGATTATATAGTTAACACTATCTAGTTTATTTTAATCTATATTCCTTGTACATTGAATTAACCAACATATAAAATATTATAACACAATACTAGATGTTGTACAATAAACCAAACATTGGTTTTCAATTATTAATCGACTTATCCAAGTCTCAGTCGTCATTTTCAACTTCTCGAGCTGCTGCAGCCTGAGAGGCTCCTGATTTCTTGACCAACAAAACGCTCTCAATGTTTGGTAATACACCACCTTGGGAAATTGTTACCCCATTCAACAATTTATTCAACTCTTCGTCATTGCGAATTGCAAGTTGCAAATGTCTGGGGACAACCCTGAAATGAAATATAGATTTAAATAAATTTTTGCAATTTTATAGTAATTTTAAATAAACAAAACTATTGTTTGTCAAAAATTATTTTTATTGGTTTCTATCAGGAAATAATTTATCAAGGTGCTTTTTAATCTTTAATAAATATTTTAAATTTAATTAACTCGGATACAATAATTAGCATCTGTTGGGAACAACTCTAAAATAAAATTCAATCTACTTAAATACAGATGATTCATTAGTTGTTTCATTTTAAAAAAGTATTCGATCTAACTAAAAATTTAGTAATGTAATATTTCATTAAGATATTAAATTTATTTACGATTTTAACTAAATTATTTTAATTATGCTATATATCTATTCTATTCTATTATATATTATAATAGATGTTTGAACATTTTTTCTCAATTGTGTGGAAGCTTAAGTAATTCAATAGGAGAATACTATTAAAAAAATAATTTATATATAAGAATAAAATCTCATTGTCTATTCTTTATTAGCATTTAATAGCACAAAAATATTAAATTTTATTTATTATCAATTTTCATTAAATAATTCGCATATTATATTTATTAATGGTTTATAAACGAATTATTTTATATGGAAAGATATAAAAACTTATTTTGTGTCAAATATTATTTTATTGGTAGGTATTAAATTTTTTCGATGTTAAAATAATTATTTAAATAATAATGAATATTGAGTATTTATCGGCATTGTAAGGAAACGACGATCCCGAAATAAAATATAGAATTAATTAAATTTGAGCGATTTAATATTGCCTAATAAATGAAAGTTTTCAATTATTAGCGAATTAATAGTATTTTATTTGAAAAATATATATAGAATCTTATGTTCGCAAATAATTTTATCTATTGGCTTTAAAAAAAATCAATTTTATTAATTATTAATTTTTATTTAATAATTTATTAAGATATTGGATTTAATTATAATTTCAAATAAATTATTTTATATAATTAATATATGTTGCAAATGTGCAGGAATGACTTCGGAATTAGACATACATTTTTTAAATAAGGATAATTTTAATAAAATATTTAAATTTTTATTTCATATGTCAAATTTTATTTCATTGAATTTCATTAAAAATATATTTGATTTAAAATTATAAGTAAATTAAATAATTTTATATGACAATTTATATTTGTCGCTAATGCGTCGTATGGATTTTTAATTTAATTGTATTCTTATTTTGAAAATCTTTTGTCAAATATTTTATTAAAAAAAAATTGAGTTTTTATTATATATATTAATTTATAATTTAATGTTTTCGAATTTATTATATTTTAAAAGAATTATTTTATAGATCATATTTCTGTAAAAATGTAAAATGTAAATTTGTATTAAAAATGTTAAATGTAATTTATTTGCTAAACATCAGAATCATTAAGAAATTATTGATAAACATAAATAAAAACAAAAACAGAATTGTAATTGTCATAAATAATATCTGTTTTACCGACGCCTACCTAGTTTAATAAATATTTATTAAGTTTTTATTATATATATATATATATATATATATATATATTAATTTATAATTCAATGTTTTCGAATTTATTAAATTTCAAAAGAATTATTTTATAACATCATATTTGTGTAAAAATGTAAAATGTAAATTTGTGTTAAAAATGTTAAATGTAATGTATTTAATAAACATCATAATCATTGAGAAATTATTGATAAAAATAAATGAAAACAAAAACAGAATTATAATTGTCATAAATAATATCTGTTTTACCGACGCATACCTAGTTTAATAAATATTTATTATACATATATATTAATTTATAATTTAATACGTTTTCGAATTTATTATACTTCAAAAGAATTATTTTATAGATAAAATTTCTGTAAAAATGTAAAATGTAAATTTGTGTTAAAAATGTTAAATGTAATTGATTTGTTAAACATCAGAATCATTTAGAAATTATTGATAAATATAAATAAAAGCAAAAACAGAATTGTAATTGTCATGAATAATATCTGTTTTACCGACGCCTACCTAGTTTAATAAATATTAAGTTTTTATTATATATATATATATATATATATATATATATATATTAATTTATAATTTAATGTTTTCGAATTTGTTATATTTCAAAAAATTCATTTTATAGATTACATTTGTGTAAAAATGTAAAATATAAATTTGTGTTAAAAATGTTAAATGTAATTAATTTATCTGTTAATTGCCAGAAACATTAAGAAATTATTGATAAATATAAATAAAAACAAAAACTAAAATATAATTGTTTAAAATAATATCTGTTTTACCGACGTTTACCTAGTTTAATAAATATTTATAAAGTTTAAATTTTTTAAATAAATTAAGTATAAATTTATTAAAAAAATAAGTATAATTTTTTTAAATATGGATAATTTAAAAAAAAATATTTAAACTTTCATTTTATGTCAAATTTTATTTCATTGAATCTCAATAAAAATAAATTTATTGATTCATCTATGACAATTTATATTTATCAAATATTTATTATTGAATTCTTATTTTAAAAATCCACCTTCGTGTCAAATATTTTTATAAAAAAAATACTAATTTTTATTATATATATTAATTTATAATTCAATATGTTTTCGAATTTATTATATTTCAAAAGAATTATTTTATAGATAATATTTGTTTTAAAAAATTTGAGAAATTATTGATAAATATAAATAAAAACAAAAACAGAAATATAATTGTCATAAATAATCTGTTTTACCGACGCCTACCTAGTTTTCTTGTTATCTCGCGCCGCATTCCCAGCGAGCTCGAGCACTTCAGCCGTCAAATATTCGATGACTGCGGCCAGATAGACCGGAGCACCCGCCCCGATGCGCTCCGCGTAGTGCCCCTTACGAAGCAGCCGGTGTATGCGCCCCACCGGGAACACTAAATCGGCTCTGCTACTACGCGACTTGGTCTTGCTGGTCTTTATTTTTCCTGTAATGAAAATATTAATTATTCATCGCTGCCTTCATTAAACCGAACTTCATTACTTGTTTACTGTACCTTTTCCTAATCCAGACATTTTAATAGTCAAAATTCGTAAGTTATTTGAGTTTTTCTCAAGATTTTTTATCTGTGATACTTTATTGATTTCAATATGCACGAGATGTTCTTTTATTTTGTTTGATGCGGAGTCATGGAGACTTGATTTAGAGGTAGAACAACCGTTGTATATTTATAAAATTCAAATTTGCATTTCGAATATCTTAAAAATGAAAAAAATTTCTTTGCTACGTAATACAAAGATGATATCGTTTTTTTAAATTTGTAATTGCATTTTGTATAAATAATAAACTAGTGGTGTATGGCATCGTGCCTTAAGGCAAATTGCTGGAACTTCACGTACCGTAACGAAATGTTCGAGGAATATTAAATGTTTTCAAATAGATTATTATAAATATTGTAACATTGTCTAATATTTATAAGAATTATATAAACAGAATTGCCAAGTTGAAATTATTTGTTTAAAATATATTAGGGCAGAATTAAAATTAAAATCTGAATTATTTTCGATATACAAAAAAAAATTTTTTTGAAAAAAAAATAGTCATTTTTTTTTCCAAAAGCAATTATTTTGTTGAAACAAGTAGAAAGTTCTTTGGATCATTCAAATCTGACGCTTAGTTCTTTCAAAAACTGCCATTTTTTGCACATTTAGCCATGTATCTTCGAAATGGCTGGACCTGCCTTTGCCAAAAACTAATCACCATCTCTCACAATCATTAGACATCCATTTTTTTGATTGTGAGGTATGCCAAAATGTTCAGAAACCTTCAAAACATGAAGATATGCAAAAATTTTTATTTTGGGCCCATTATTATAACTACCCTACTGGAAGTTAAAAAACATTTTACAGTTTTATAACGAACATTTTTATTGATTTATCCTTAAATTGTTTTTCATTTCATTTTGTTTTTCATTCAGTTTTCACTGAGCGGATAGACCGATGATTAATTTTGAGAAAAGCATTAAATTTTGCAGTACAACTATTATATATATATATATATCAAATTTAAATTTTCTTTTCAAATATCCCAAATATTATCATTATTTGTTGGCTTTCATACGTAAATACAGTACATTTTAATAAAATGTAAAATGTAAAATTAATTTATATTTTCTTATAAATGCATCGATTTGATTAAATGATACAGCTGTTACTAATTATGGATTTTTAATTACTAATAAAATGGTGGATCTTTTTGTCTCATATTTTTCATGGGGTAAAAAGGTTCAGGTGACAATTTTCTAAAAAAAAACAGCAAAAAACATAGTTATATATAATTTCACTGATTGTGACTATAGTTAGATTGTTGTTTTTAAATATGTGTTATTTGTTTTGATGTAGTTGGGGTTAATTAGACCTTTGTGCCCCTCTCTACTCTTTACCAAAGAATATATTTAGCATCTTATTGAATAATTCTGAGGAAAACCTTTACTCGAAATATGTTAATCTGATTTATATTATCATTTGTTGATGAATTACCCATCAAATTGAAAATAAGCCGATTTATTAAGTGTCATGCGCTGTGGTCTATTCCCTAATCTTTACGTCGTCGATGTTATGACAGCATCCCCATTATGTTTTCATTTATTAGGCTTACTCAGCTAGACTGGGTGGTGTGGCAAAATCAGTATATTAACGTTTAATTAAAATTTCAGATTTACGTTTATGTTCACACAACATCGTTTCGGAATTGATGCTGATTTAATCAGTAACGAACGATCTATGCATAATATGCTACTAGATGACTGTTACCGGAACAGAATGGTATCATCGACACACCAGCTCGCGGAAATTAGTTAGCATAATCGCTGTAAAACTAACATACAAATGGAATAATTTAAGATGCAACGTTCGTGTTTTAGCCGTAAACTCGGGGCGTCTTTTCTCGGCTGTATCAACACGACAGGCAGCGATATGCGGACGGGACCGCGCTAATAAGCTGTTTAATGTATGTTTATTTATCCATTAGATAAAGCGCCGCGGAATAACGCGGTTTTGTATCGCGACGATGGCTCAGGTTTGAAGGCGTTGTTCCAACACGTATATACCTACGGTAGCACAATGCGGAATAACGTCTTGAGAAATATCCTTTTACCGGAAATGGCACGAGATAATGCGTCATGTTTTAATGAGTATTTAAACAAATGTGCCTAAGTGTTATAACGCTATCCGGCGAGAAATAACGTCTAATGGACTTCAGGTTTATTACTTCACCAGTGGCAACCCTTTGAATAAACATACTTACTGTATAATTAGAACCTTACATTGTTCAAGATAGAGATTTTTAAAAAAATCATGGTTTTTGTAAACTCGTTTTCTTGTATATAAATGATTGTATATAAACTATTGTAGGTAAAATACGGACGAAATCGGGATGGGGGGGTTTGACAAAAAATCACGAAATATCACGTGGGGGAGGAAGGGGTATAGTAAGATATCACGTGTCTTTTTTTAACTGCTTTTTTTAAAGTTCAAACATGTTCAAAAAGAATCAAAAACGTTACTTTTTTTCACGTAACTGAAAATACACGTGATGTTTGGCGGGGGAGCGGGGGTAATTTTCAATATCACCAAGGGGGAGGGGCGTCTAAAAAACCTTAAAAACTTAGTCACGTGATTAATGGACGCCCCTTTATTTAAAAATTGGCTAGTTTTGTAACGTTTTCGCGACTGTATAACATAAAGAAAGCCATAATAACAATCCTGTCAGATGTTGAGCGTCATTGTCACGGTCTTGTTGCAGTAATCAGTGAATTGCGCGTTCTAAAGATTATATTGAGGGTAGTTTTCACATGTTTTTGGGGACTTGTTTATTGATATTTGTAATTATTTCTCTTAAAATTAATGAATTCATGACAGTACTTGCAATAATCGGGTGTTTGATGATATTTTCAATAATTATACATTTTCGAACAAAATGATACTTATATAATTGACAAAATGATAGAGTTCTACTTCGCAAGCATTACAGGGCCAAGAAGAAAAATTAAATCTGTCAAAGGTTTTTTTTTTGGTTTATTGTTCATAGCAAACTATACACAGTACATTCAGCTATATATTATTACAGGTATATATTATTTGAAAGCGTGAGAAGGATCGCTATTCTACGATAGCACCTTCTTAGATATTATGTATTTTGATATAGTAAATCATTGCAAACTCTTTTTTTTTTTGATACGCTTTGCTGGTAAAGGCTTGAGCAGGTCACACGCTAATCTAATGCGTTTCGATGGCGACTTAGACGAGCTTTGTATCTGGAGCAGTAATATTAATTTCTTCTTCTATAGATGGAATCTGAGATCTTGATGATGTTGAAGTTGGGACATATTTTGCAGCGTTCACGATTCCTTTCAAATTTTGTTTTTATAACCTATGTAGAATATTTGATTTACTGGCCGCACCCCATAGTTGTAGACCGTAGGACCATATTGGTTTAATAATTGACTTGTATTTAGGAGTTTATTTTTTATCTGTCAAAGGTGATAGGCTTTTAACTCTGCTCCAAATATGCAAGAAATAATTGCTAAAAACAGACCAAACAATCCACCGGTGAAAAAAGGGACTTGCATTTGTTGCAATATATGAGGTTCATACGTTATGCTGACGTCACCAGATGATTTATTTGCTATCTTCTTAAAAATTACCATCTCAGTATGTCCTTAATCTATATGTCTTTTGTTCGTAATATGTGGACAAAATGGTTTTTATAATTAGTTTAGTAATTTTTCATAAATATGTTATTATACTCATTTAAAATACTATCTTACTGGTAGCCAATGAAGTAAGAATGATTGAGACTGGTTATAATATCATTGAATAAATAAATACATGTATCATTGAAAAACAAAACATGCCATTTTAAAGTATGTACTTTGTCTATATCACTAAATTGCACTACCATTGGAACATTTTTCGAGTTAAGACTGGTCAACAGCTGCTCCTATTGATAACTTCATATTTACGTGGTGCATGTTTTAGTAAGGTGTTCGCGCTGTTTGGTGTATCTTCGTAGTTCGTAACACATAATTCTCGGATTTGCAAGCGTCTGTCTCGCCGCATATATTTACGGAGTGGATTACATTGTCTGCAATTCGTGTAATACCTTCGCGAAGTTTCTCTAATGT